ACCGAGACCGTGGTGGCATCAATAAAAAGACTGAGAAATTGACCAGTGCCCTTTTTCAATCGTTCTATTGACTAACAATGCAGTATTATCATGCAACTAAGTGTTCAAGCTTTTCGAATATAGAAAGTTACTGATACACAATACAAGTCCAACGTGTCATTATTGCCCGACAGTTTACATTAGGACTTTTTGCTCGTATAAATGAGTATATATCTAATTTTTGAGCATGAATATTTCGTATTATGCATGTTTTTTTGTAACCTAAACAACTTTCCCGATTTGGAATTAATTTGAACCAATCTAGCTGACTCCTTAACACTTTAATAAGCTTTCTTTATTAGTAGCTTTCGAATCTATTCCGTTTAAATACTACGACTAACAAAAGTTATACGTTAAGTTACTATACTGACATCTCTCACAAATGTTAAGCAATATCGAGTAGCTTTAACTTATCTCTGAGTTAAACATTTTAGTTAAAGTAGAGGCCGTTAGATGTCGCTCTTTAACATTACTCAACTCCTTACCTCGTTCAATAGTACTACATATAATCTTACTAAATACTAACTGCAATCAAATAAAAAACAAATGAAAATATTGAACATATAAAAATGACAGAAACACGAATCTCTACGGAATGTTTATTACAACTAAATATGTTTAAATCTAAACCGGTTTCTCGCTGCAGTTCCGTTCGCGTCGAATTAGCACAAAACAAAAGCAAGTAGCCTATGTATTCTTCCAGACTACGCTCTACACCTTTGCCAAATTTGGGGATCTATTTAGCCGTTTAGGCGATAAACTCTAGCAAACATTTTTCCATCCATCTATACTTTCGCATTAAAAATATTAGTAAGATATGAATAACATCAGTACATGTTAAAAGTGAATACTGACCAGCATATTTCAACATAGGAATGACATCAATATGAAAACGATTTATTTATTTGAAAATAAATTAAAAGTCTGTGCAAATACCGATGTCAATTTCAGAACGTGATGAATGGGCGCCGGAGATCGTTTGTATTGAAATAGACCGATCAAATCAACGGATTGCCAGTCGGTTTTAGTAATATTTTGTGCTATAACAGATTAAAATTCTATCTTAATATTTCTATCCTAGTATTCAAATCAAATTTGTCGGATTTTAAACGTTAAAGTTTCTAATTTTAGTTTAATAAAATGATATGTTCTTGTATGCCCTTAAATCTTTTCTATTTATAACTTTTGAGTGTAGATTACATGCATTATTTTAGACGAGAGCCTTCAGATAGCGTTGTCTATTAAGTAGTCTTAGTATTCACGAGGGAGGCTTTAGTTTAGTTTAATATAATACCCCTATATAAAGGTAGGAGTGAGTATAGTTTAAACTTTACTATAATGTAAACTTGTTTAAAGATGTCAAGGGTTACTTATCATCCACTTCATCTTCATTTAGAACGTTGGAATGACCTTGCAAAGTTCTGCAAGCCACAGTATATAATCACAAATGTAAATTGGTGTATTTGTTTTACTCTGTGGTTTTGCTTTCTGAATTCAAATTCAAAGCATCCGGTAGCGCGAGGTGTGACGTAATCTACGTCTGAATTATTTAACCGTGAGTCGTCCTTCACTAGACATTTAAATTATTCCGCTCCTCCGCCGCGCCGTATCTCCCACCTAATTTACCTCTAACAACATTTATGTTTTCAATTTAATATCACGTCTATTATAAATATAGTTTTTGAGTTATACTACGTTAAAATTAATATACGCATATGTATTTAATTGTCGAAGTTGTAACTAAAGAGAGGAAGTAACGCTGGTCGTATAACAAATTTTCTTAACAGTTTATTATTGTCTGACTTTATTGAACAGAGTAAAGGAGGTGCAGATAAATGATTCCCTTTTCTGTACATTATTCCCTAGCTAAATCTATCTCGGAAATAACTGGCCATCGTAAATTATCTTGGTTAAGGAGTAAAGGCTCATTCGTTAGTAAATATGAATTACACAATCTTCTTTATTATTATAATGGTGCAGGAAAATCGCAATACTGGCCGTGTTGAAGACTTTTGTGCAATTTAATAGGTAATTTGCAGCGAGGATTGCTCGCTATGAAATATAAAGCACTCGCCTCTGTGGTTCGCTGTTAATAGCATTGCGAAGTGTTTTTGAAAAATGTTTTTATATTCGACGCTTGTTGATGTTAGCGGCTATCCATATTGGAAGTTGTTTCGAAAAAAGAATATAACTCTTTTACAATCCTATTTAGTTTATCGAATAAATATTGAAAACATCTATAACAATATTATGAAGTGGAAAATTTTGTTCGATTGTATTGAAATAATCCAAAAACTAGTGGGCCTATTTCAAAAATTCTTTCACCATTAAAAAGCTACGTTGTCAGTGAGTAACCTAGGGAATGTTTTATATTTTTTTATAAATTCATACAGACGTAGTCACGGGCGAAAGTTAGTATTAAATAATAACAATCAAAAAAATTAATTAGTAGCAGAAGTTAAGCAAGAAATAAGTGTTAATTTAGTAATAAACGCAGTTAAAATAATCTGCACAGAATATTCAAGTCAAGTTAGTGTTTGTTAAAATTAGCATCATGAGAAAGTCCAAGTGTAGCGACTTACAACTACCGAACAAAGCTGTTTCTCTACCAAGTTAGTTAGGCATAACTAAAGGTTTTAGATAACCCCAAATATAATATACAATTTAATACGCAGATTTTTTTAAGAAAACCAGCGACTATTAATTGTTAAATGATAACTCGCTTGTCGTCACGGTTCAGCAGTTTAGGCTCTAAATCGTCACTAAGAATTACATGTCTTACATACATATGATACAATTCAAACAAACAAAATACATTCCCTCTCATCACTTGGGTAAAAAAGTTGCAATGTAAAACGATATATTCTGTCTTCGTGTGGTATTCGTATGACCTTAATCCTTATTTTATTTTATTATAGTTAATAATAATATTTAGATCACAAAAGCGAAAATTTTGTTGGCTATTCCAAAAAAACAGTTGAATCAATCCTTAAACGCTTTTGTTTTTTACTTTAATTCATTTTAGTATTTGATGAATAAATTGGCCGGCGAATGACGTCGGTTATCCTCTTTTGTTCTCTTTACGATCTATTTTTTTTTTATAAAATGTGCGTTAAATACTGTCCGTTGATTTATATATGCAATTTTGTTATACGGAAAAGAACAGAATGGACGTAAAAATGCTTTTACCTCGATAAATTGGAATGTTCAATGTTCCAGCGAATATTCTTTCCACTTTGTCAATACTAAAATTTTTAAGTTCCTGACTAAATAAAATATTGAACTATATTTGTAATATTTTTGTTACAAATTCGTTCTGTCTACTCCAACTAAGCAAAAACGTTTAATATTATTTGGGTCCCATCAGTCTTTACCTTCCGAATTTAATTTTTAAGCACTGTTTTTCAAATTAAATGATGACAAAGTTAAAAGTACTACCTATTGCTCGCAACTTCGTCCCCGTAAAATTATAAAAGCGAATTAAAAAAATCATAGATAAATTACCTTTCTAACGGTGAAACCAATTTTATATAGACTCAGTAATTTTTGAGAATTGACTCTTTTCAATACAAATCTTTTCTCTTTGTAATGATAGTAAAGATAAAATAATAAAAATAAATTCAGTTACTTTAGTGACGACGAATATGAGAGATAGGTTTATTACTAAGACGTTCTTGATCACATATTCTATGTAAAGTTATAGTTTAGTCTCACTACATTAAGTAGGAATAGTATTAACAAGAGAATAGTAATAAATAACACGGGGAGGGTCTAGTTTCGTGACTCCACACCGCGGCTCATCACTACAGAACGTGTTTAAACTCACAACTACCCAGTTACAAATTACTATTATATCAAACTAGTTGTTCCCGTGCGGCTTCATCCGCATGAAATTATAAAAAAATATTTTATTGTTTACATTTGTTAAATTCTGAATAGTAAATGTCTAAATTACCATTACGATAATAAGCTAGATGCCTCAATGTTGGCAGCTTGTAGTTTATGGTCACTTTCCCACATGGAGGTTTTTAAATTTATTTACCCTCTAAGTTTAATAGTGTGAAAATAGCCTAAAGCGTGTCATAAATGTAGGGCTTTTTATTACAGAACGAATTATTCAAAAATACACTGTAATTGCTGACATTTTAAGCCACAAAGTAATGTATGTTTACGCTTTATTACATTAGTATAGAAGTATAGATTGACACTACTGGTTCGACAAAATTTGTCGTAGTCAACAATATTTCTATTAATAGTTGAGCAATCAAACCGTAGGTTTTCACTGTGCAACACATGACAGTTTTTGTATAGGCATTTTGACAATGGAAACCTACGCTAACAACAATATTCTTTGGTAGGTTTTATATGATACAGTTTGATGTAACATTTCAATTTACGCAGCAAGTTTTGTTAATAAAATCGATGGAGGGTCTGAAACGGCTCAAGATGCGGGTTCTTAGACCCGTATATTTGCTACCCTTCAATTGACAGTAGAATTGGATCCCGAATTGTAACCTTTGAAGTAGAATTTCTGATCAAGGTTGTCCGCAATATGTCGAATGAATATACACTCAATAATACGTTAGTTTCATCAAAACTTTCCTAAGCATTTACTCAAACTTCATATTAATATTATAAATGCAAAAGTTTCGACGGATGGATGGATCTTTGTTAGAGTCGGTAGCTTAAACGGCTAAACGGATCTGGATAAAATTTGGCATAGGTGTGAAACATAGTCTGAAAGAACAGGCTACTTGCTTTTGTTTTGTTTTTTAATTCCACGCGGACGGAGTCGTGGGAAAATGGTAGTAAGTTATATGTATACGCAAATTAATTGTAACTTTTTGATCGATTTAAGTAACTGTCATATAAAAAATTTGAGTACTGGCTGAATGAGATAGATATCAAGGCGGCGATCGAACAGTTGACAGTTGTCATTTAATGGTGGAATAATGCACTTTGGTTGTGTGCATGTATACAACTAATTGGTTAGGCTCTGTAAATGTTTGCAATCCTGTTAGATCGTGTTGTGAAGTTTTCACCAAAAATTTTAGGACGGTGTTTCTGAAATCACATGATTGTTATTTCATTATCTCCGACGCTAGCCCATAATGGAGGTAAGTACCGTGTATATAATCTAACTACGTGTATATAATTTATACCTACAAGAGAATATATTTATTCGTATTTCTAAAAGAAACGATAAATCCAAAAAGTTTTAAAAATAACTCCCCTGTGTGCAAGTTAGCTTGGTGAATGTAAATGTTCGCATACGTTCTCACAAAGTAATGCTATAGGGAACGTTCCTTTTTCTAATATAAAGCTGTGACCTTAAAATATATTGAGGACAAGAACACTTTAGGTAGTACAGAATGTTTCAATTTATGATTTTTATCTTATAAATGTGTTGACTTCAATGACATATTACTGCAATAAGTATATCTTTTACATTGCCATAGAGGATTTTGTTTTATTTATCACGCATTTTCTTAGTTAACATTAGTTATCTATACTTCTATACTGTTATAATAAATAAACACTTCTTTGTGGCGTAAGATATCAGAAGTTACAGTATTTTTTTTAATAAAAACCCCTACTCCTACGTCACGCTTTAGGCAATATATTTTCAGGCTATTTAACTTAAGGGGTAAAGAAATTAAATAAATAACCTAATGCTGGAAAGATACTATTAGCTACGAGCTGCCAACATCAAGGAGGTAAATTTATCCTTGCCATTTTTCCACTTGAATTTTGACATTTGCAATTATGAATGTCACGAATGTAAATTAATAAAATAACATTTTTAAAATTATAGACGAATGAAGCCGCACGGAAACTGCTATTTTGGAAGCTAAAAAGAAGGAGAAGGAGAAGAAAAGAACTACTTACAACTTATTTAAGATTTGAAAAATAAATATGGATAAATTCAATTTTTGTCAGGAAATTTTCGTTATCAAATCGAACGCCGGCTTCGCGAACAAATGACTATTGAATTTATGTCAATTTGAATTACTTGTCATTTCATTCGGCAAATATACGTCGGTGTGAAAAACACGTTTCCATTAATGTGACGCAGCTTTTAATTTTTTTTTTCAATTTCAAAGGTTTAAACTTTTTTACGAGCAATGTAAATAACCGCTTTACACTATAGAAATTCAAAAGTCTAAGTTCGCTTTGTAATTTTATTGGAATTAATATAAAAATGAACGTTTTGTTAGATACATCGTTTTTTCAAAATTGTGGCATCAGTTATCTAGAAAAATCGTGTAGCAAATATTTATAAATTTATAGTGATAAAAACTTTCATGTCAAACTTGAAATTGTGATTAAGTAATTTGAATGAATACACTTTGAAACGTGGAATTAACACTCTACTTACTAAATGTAAAAAACAAACAGAAATTAAATAAGTATAAACGTGAAAGGAAAAATTAAGCGAAAAAATGAAGGTTGGCATTTCACACAAATTTGATTGGATTTGCGAGGATTTGTGTTCGTCTACGTCAAATTCATCGTGCCACAAATGAGAGCAGAAAATCCTCGGACGAAAAAAAGAAAATAATATCACGTCTACTGGAAAATGGTGTTACTTTTGGAACAAAAGAATATATTTTTCACCACTAAAATAAAAAAAGGTTATTGCTCTCATTTTTTATTAAAGGTTGATTTACATTTAGAAATGTATACATTGAAATGTTACCAAACTGTTAAATAGTCCATTTAAAATATGTTTTTACATAGTTAAAATATTTTTTAAAGATACACATTCCTATTAGATGCCCATCTTTCTCTATCAGAATCTATTTACCATATTACCTAAGACATCGATGTCGCCAGCAACTTCTCATTTGTAGCCAATAATGCAAACTAGATTGCCGTTTGAGGAATCAATAGTAGTAAAAATAAATTAATTTCGTTTGATAAAGGAATTGTTACTTTTTGAAATATGACCAAAATCACGTTTCGCTGCGCTGTTAAAAACAAATGACAGACGATTGAAATGAGAAAAAATAGAGAAATATGTATGTGACAGGTGTGTGGTGGCCCCCGTGTTCTATTGCGGACGCGTCATGCGAGTAATCGATTTGTCTGGACGCTGCTGAGCCGTGGCTTTCGTGACTCGGGGAACTTCTACCACAATGTACGATAGCTAGACTGCAAATATCTAGGACATAGACAAATTCAAACGTCTATCGTCTTCTGCAGGTAAATAATTGCCTTGTAGTTATATGCAATGGTTACAAAACAGTCTTATATGTTTGTAGTTTATACCAAATAACATCGAAATCAGTTCAGCTGTTTGGGCTACAAACTCTAACAAACATCCATCCATCCATCCATTCATCCATCTTAACTTTCACATTTATAATATTAGTTTATGATTAGTATGATAAACATTAGAAATTAAACACAGTATCTATCGAAAACTGGTTCAATTGAGGAAAATAGCCCTTATAGTCCTAACGAGTTCACATTCTCTTTACAGCAATAATTTTGTATTCATCTCAACATTCTAAAAATACTTAAGAGTACGATTCAGTATAAAAACTTTAGTTCTCAAAAAATTACGCTCCGTAAAAGTTTCGTAGTCTGTCTGAATGTCAAACAGTATTTGTGTTAATAATGAAAACATTTCAAGGAGCTTCCTAATAAGATTTTCAGGTTTACCTATACCAAACATTCTTGAGAATACAAACAAGATCCGAAAATTAAAATTGCGAATGTTCGAATATTTGGTTTTAATTTAACGTGAACAAAGTGATGTATTATCTTATAACCATATTTCTTAAGTAATTCAGTTGCATTTTCACTAAGCTTTATTTCCCTGCTATTTCTACTAATTAACAAGGAGTTTATTTGCTACGAGAGAACTTTTTCTCAAAGGCGCAAAGTTCCTTTCAACGTACTTTCTTTAATTCCGATTTATCACGTTTAATTGACCGTAAACATTTTCTACAAGAGCTCGGAGGAAAAATAAAAAGTTTTCTTTTTAACTTACTTTTGATATAATTTATTGCATGTTGCCAATATGCATTTATTTAGCTTATTTTATTGATATAAAATAATTTTTACTATGATTTGAGACAGATACTTAACAATGACACACATTTTGGTAATCATTGCCTAATATATTTTTCAGGATCAAAAGTTTCAACGGCAACGTCCTTTTTAGCGTAGGTAGGCATATTAAACACAACGATTTGGTTATCATTTTAGGTACGTAGTAACAATTTCAATTTCTCAAATAACGTAAAGAAATTTACGTTATGAATATTCCAAAGTTTTAATGATTCCGCTATTCCATTTTTATAACGGAGTTCTAATCAGTTTAATGATGGTATATTTTTAATGAATTCCTAAGTACTGAAATAACAACATAAATCATATGGCAGGAGACTATCGTGCTATTAGCATGTGCTATGCCATCTCCACTAGATTGCTTTTTGATTAATGGGCAAGATGATTAATCGCTTTCAACGTAAACTTCTAAAGTTTATTGAGTGCATAGCGAACTTTATTGTTTCTATGAATTGTAAGAAAATCATTATTTTTACAACAAATAAAAAAATAACACGGCTGTCTCATAGGAGTTATGTTTTCACGCACATGTGTAGATAACACTGTAATAGCTAGTATGGAATATACATAGTAGTGGTGAAATAGTTTTGCAGAAAAGTTTCCAGAGTTAAATCAGCAAACATGTTGGAAATGTTGACTCTCTAAATAGAGCGCATGTATATGGCCTATTTTACACTTTTCTAACACAAATTTCAACATATTAAATAGCCCTCATAGTACACAGCGTGGGGAAACAGAAATGATTAAAGGTTCTTTTATGTAGTACTAGCTGTCGCTGACTTCGTCCACGCAATACTAAGATAAAAAAGTAACC